CCAATCTTATCAGATCCGCCGGCAGTGAATACTGTGCCGGTGTACCAACCACCAATGAATGATCAGCATAATCAGAATGTGTAGCGTCCACATGTGCAACCGATTCCACCAGCGAGAGATCAACAAGAAGTAGTAGGCAACCTAAACCAAGGTAGGGCTAATCCATTGATACCTCCAGCGACTGCTGGGGGGCAAGTAAATGCCGATCATCAAAGGGAGTGGGTTAATTCATTCATTCCGCGGCACCCAAATGATCCTCCAAGAAGAAATGCAGGGATTGATAGGGCTCAGATTTTGGCTTTAATACAGACTGAAGTAGCACAAGGTCGCAGACATGCCCAGCTGATTTACAGAAAGCTCTATCCTGATCATGTTGATGCTCATGAGTTGCCTAGAAATTATCGATATCCTGATTTTTCTATGTACAGTGGCAAAGAAAATTTCTCTACGGTGCAACATATTGCAAGGTTCACTGCACAATGTGGAGAAGCAGGTCCCAGCCCTTGGTTAAGGACGAGGTTATTCTCTAGGTCTCTTGCCGGGGCGACGTTTGAATGGTACAGTAATTTACCGGCTAATTCTATTCAGACTTAGGATGAGATAGAGGAGACGTTCCATACCCAATTTTACTTAATAGAGACAGAAGCTACACTGGTAGACATATCTCGATTATCTCAGTTGCCGAGCGAATCGGTTAAGACTTTTGTTGCCACGTTCAGAAAGGCTAAACTCAAATGCCGAGTAAGTTTGCCAGAACCAGAATACATTAAGTTGGCATTGAATGGTCTAGACATTGAACATCGCAAGAGGTTTGATGGGGTTAAGTTTCAAGATCTCTTCGACTTAGTAGACAGGGCTTCTCGATATGAGGAAATACTAAAAGAGGAGAAAGAAAGGAAGAATTCTTCTAAGGGTACTTGATACAAGGACCCTAATTATGAGGTATTATCGGCCGAAGTTGGAGGTAAATTAGAGGTTGACGTTGCAGAAGTCAATATCAAAAAGCCATACATTTGTGAGGCGTTGGTTAAACCTAAACCGACCATGGGGGGCAATGCATCATCAACATCAACATCGGCAGCAAGGAAAGGTCCTGCCGATATCGGTAAAAGTTATTCTTTCGACTTGTCGAAAACAGATCAAATCTTTGATCACTTAATGGCCGATAAAATGATATATTTGCCTAAAAGGCATAAGATTCCATCGGCAAGTGACTTGAAAAGAAAAGAGTATCGTAAGTATCATAACTCTTGGAACCTTGCTACTAATGATTGTACTGTTCTACGAGGTGTGTTGCAAAAAACTATTGACGAAGGTACTTTAAAATTCTCGGAGAAAACTTCAAAGACCATGAAGGTGGATACTAATCCATTTCTACAATCACATCTACAAATGTGATAAGCTTAGCCAAGCAAGAGAATCAGCAGGAGGTTGAAAAGATATCTAGTGAGTTCCTTTCATCAACTGCGACACCTGAAAAGATGGCAGATTGCAGAAGCAATTAAGGGAGGCTTAATTAGCTTTGGTTAACTATGGTTGTTGCCTAAATTGCAAAGGAAAACAAAAACCAAAGGAAGATGTGCCAATGGTGGTTCAACCAAAGAAGAAAGGAATTCTTGAGAGGCTTATTTTCCCATTGAAGCTTGGGGAAAAGCCTCGGCAAGGCGGTCCCAGCAACAGCCATTTGAAAGCGGGAAAGCAAACTCGGCAAGTAAATATATCTAGCCGATTTCATCCCCAAAATTGGCATCCCAGTTTTAAGAGGCAATCGCCAGTTCAGTCAGAAATTTGGGTACAGAAATGAGCCGATACATATAGAGTGCGAACTGTAAAACCAATGACAGACTCAACTGAAGATAGATGGACTCGAGTTAATCATCCAAAATTCCCTAAAGCTCAACAATATCAGAATAGGAGCCTAACTCGATCTCAGAAACATAGGGAACAAAGGAGAAGAGCTAAGGAAAAAAGGAAAACTAAGGAAGGAAGCAAAGTAGTGCAAGCCGAGGAAATTGGTATTCCAGATAAAGATGAACCGGATGAAGAGCATCAGCCGACGTGGCCCAGACGCAATAATGAGTTCAGAATTCAGTTTGGCAGTTTCCCAGATGAGATGTCATGTAATTTGGCATTTGTATTACCAGCAATGTTCCAGGCTCCATCGGCATTAAATGCAAATACTGAGAAGAATAAGAAGGAAACTCAGCCGATTCAGAATTTATCAATTCTTTCTTTAGAATCGACATAGAAAGTGGTTTTTGAAAAACGTTTGTTAGCAATGACTCAATAGCTCAGGCCTTTGTATGTTAAGGTATGGGTAGAAGGTCAACTTATTAATCGAGACTTGGTAGACAATAGCTCAGTTCTGAATGTTATTCCAGCAAACACATTGAAGAAACTCGGCAAGAGTATGAAAGATGTTATTCCTACCGATGTAGCAATTTGTGGTTTCAATAGAGGCTCTACTAGCACTAAAGTGATCTTTCCCTTAGAAGTAGAAGTTGGAGGTAGGACATCTTTTGCGGCATTCTTTATTATTAAATCCACGACTTCCTATAATTTGTTATTAGGCCATGACTAGATTCATCCAAATATGTGCATCCCATCATCATTACACCAGATGCTGATTTTTTGGGATGGAGATAAGGTGAAAATAGTGAATGCCGACGATAAGCCATTTGTCGCAAAAGTGTACTCGGCAGATGTTGTTTTATATGACGAAGAATGTGCCCCTATTTGATTTGTTGGAACAGGAGCCGATGGAAGACCAACCTCGGCAACTATGAGAAGAAGTCTTGCCGATCGTGAAATCGGCGAGTTACAGTAGGAGAATTCCAGGCCGAAGGTAGAACTCCCTCGGCTTGCTATAATTGAAGAAATTATTGATGGAAGCGAAATTTGAAAGGGAAGTTGCTCGGCAGCAGGCCTTTAGGGCCGCTTGCATTAGGCTACAAGCATACATAGCTGAGAAACGGCTAGAAAAAGAAGCAATAATAGAGCCAGGACCATCGGTTAATCTTACTGAGATCGATCGTTTCAATAATGAAAAGTTGGATACAATTCAGTTGGAAGACATGGAATTGGCACCAGCTAAGCTTGATGATCTTAAGGCAGAAACTCAGGATCCATTAAAGGAGGTCAATTTAGGCACTGATACAGAGCCTAGACCAACTTATATCAGTACACTATTAGAACCAGAATTACAAGCCAAAGTTATCGGTATGTTGAAACAATAAAGTGATTGTTTTGCTTGGAATTATGAGGAAATGCTGGGTTTATCCAGAGATTTGGTGGAACATCGGCTGCCCATTAAAGATGGCTACAAGCCATATAAACAGCCACCTCGTCGAATGTCTCAAGAGGTGGTAGACAAAGTTAAAGTAGAAACCGAATGATTATTGGATGTTGGCTTTATTCGAACTACAAGGTTTGTTGAATGGTTATCAAATGTAGTCCCTGTTATCAAGAAGAATGGAAAATTACGTATATGTGTTGATTTCCGAAACATAAATTTGGCAACCCCAAAAGATGAGTATCCAATGCCGATAGCTGGTCAACTGATTAATGCTCCTGCAAAGCACCAAATTATGTCTTTTATGGATGTACACTTAGGCTATAATCAGATTTATATAGCCGAGGAGGATATTCCAAAGATAGCTCTTAGGTGTCCCGGATCAATTAGAACATTTGAATGGGTGGTAATGCCTTTTAGGTTGAAGAATGTTGGTGCCACATATCAGAGAGCCATGAATTCTATTTTTTTTAATGATATGCTCAGCAAGTTTATAGAGGTGTATATTGATGATGTAGTGGTAAAATCAGTAACAAAAAAGGAGCACTTGGTTCATCTCAAAGCATCCTTTGAGAGGATGAGAGCTCATAAGCTAAAAATGAACCCAATAAAGTGTGCCTTTGGAGTATCGGCAGGAAACTTTTTGGGTTTCTTGGTTCATCAAAGGGGTATAGAGATCAATAGGAATAAAGCTAAGGCAATTATTGATGCCAGTGCGCCGAGAGGCAAGAAACAGTTGCAGAGGTTACTTGGGCAAGTGAATTATCTTAGGAGATTTATTGCTAATACAGCTGGGAAGTTATATGTGTTTTCCCCGCTACTCAAGTTGAAGCCGATGGAAGATTTCAAATGGGATGAAACACATCAAAGGCCATTTGACCAGATTAAGAAATACTTGTCGAGTCCTCCTGTTATGATGCTACCAAGGGAGAAATGGCCGATGAAGTTATATTTATCAGCTGTTGAATAATCCATTGGAGCTATGTTAGCACAGGAGGATGAAGTAGGAAGTGAATAAGCAATATATTATTTCAGCCGAGTTTTAACTCCTGTCAAGTGTAGATATACACCGATTAAGAAATTATGTTTGGCTTTGTATTTTGCAGCAATGAAATTAAGAGTCTATATGTTGCCTGTTTTGGTTTACATTGTTTGCCAAATAGATCTTATAAAGTATATGCTATCAAGGCCATAAATCACAGGCCGGATTAGCAAGTGGGCTTTGGCACTAATGGAGTTCAACTTTGCATATGTTCCACAAAAGGCAATTAAGGGAAGAGCATTGACAGATTTTCTTGCCGATCATCCCTCGCCTGAAATTGAGTCACAAGTATTTGATGAGCTTGACACAGCATCCATGTTCATGACTCCATGGACTTTAATGTTCGATTGGTCGAGTACCAGTGAAGGCTCGGGGGCTGGTATAGTCATAATATCCCCAACAGGGAATCAAACTTCGTTTTCCTTCTTTTTGGATTTCAGGTGTTCAAATAATCAAGCTGAGTATGAAGCATTGATTATCGGCTTGGAGATTCTGCTAGAAATGGCAGTCAAAGATGTCCACATTGTGGGGGATTCAAGTTTAGTGATTAATCAAATCTCAGAAGACTTTAGATGCTTGAATTGGTAATTAAGACCATTCCATTCATTGGCAACCCAATTGGTCAACCAATTTCATAATGTGACTTTGAAATATAGACCAAGGGCCATGAATAAAATAACTAATGATTTAGCACAGACTGCTTCAGGAGTCAGGGTGCCGAGTGGTATGAAGGAAATGATAATGAGGATTACACGCCGATTTCTTCCATCAGCTAAAGCAAGAAATCATATTATAGAAGAAGTCTTTGCCACTGATGTTACCGAGTTGGATGATAATGATTGGCGAATCCCTTACATCCTGTTCTTGCAACATCCAACTCCAGAAGTCGATCGAAGAATAAAAAGAAGTGCAGTCGATTATGTTCTTATGGATGGAGATTTTTATAGGAGATCAGCTGATGATGGATTATTATTTCAGTGTATTAGCAAGTTTGAAGGTTTAAAGATTATGGCAAAAGTGCATGAAGGAATATATGGAGCTCACCAAGTCGACATCAAAATGAGATGGTTGATACGCCGATATGGATATTATTGGCCTGGAATGAGAAAAGATTGTATGACCTATGCAAAGGGTTATACAGATTGTCAAAAGCACGGCCCAATGCAGTAGGTTTTAGTAATAGAGATGCAATTGTTGGAAAACTGAGGCCTTTTAGAGGTTGGGCCTTGGATTTAATCAGTAAGATTAATCCTCCATCCTCAAAGGGTCATCATTGGATAATTTTAGCTACCGATTATTTCACTAAATGGGTAGAAGCCAAGGAATATGTCTCAGTAACTCATAACACGATGATACAGTTTTTGGAGCGATATATCTTTCACCGATTTGGTTTACCAGAAACAATAGTTGCCGATAATAGATCTGTGTTTCGAGCAAATGAAGTATTACAACTCGGCCATGATATGCAAGTAAAAATGGTAACTTCAACACATTACTATGCTCAAGGGAATGGCCAAGCAGAGGCTTCAAATAAAGTTGTTATTGAAATTATTGAAAAAATGATAAAAGATAAGCCAAGGCGTTGGCATGAAACCCTTTCAGAAGCTTTGTGGGCTTACAGAAATTCAAAGTGAACAAGTACGGGGACAACTCCTTATCGGCTTACATTTGGCCACGATGCTGTGTTGCCGATAGAGTTAAATGTAAAATCGGCAAGAGTAGCTTTACAACACAATCTTATACCTGCCGATTACAATAAAGCTATGCTTGCCGAGTTAAAAGATTTAGATGAAGTCCAAAAACTTGCTTTAGACCACCTTATGGTTCATAAAGCAAAAGTAATGAGGGCTTACAACAAAAGAGTGAAGTTCAAGTCATTTACAGAGAATGATATGGTTTGGCAAACAATTCTTTCACCTGGGAAAGTGGATAGAGTTTATGGCAAGTGGTCATCTACTTGGAAGGGTCCATATTTGGTTTATCAAGTATTGCATAGAGGCGCTTACAGGTTAAAAGATCTAGATGGTGAAATCCATGAGAGACCATTAAATGAAAGATATCTTAAAAAATATAAGCCAACTATTTTTGAGCTCATGGAAAAAAAGAAAAATTCCAGTAAGCCAAGATAATGTGGATTGTATTTTATGCAAGTTATGTAAAGATAAAATTTGTTCCTATGATAAATAAATAGTAGCGTCAATATATTACTTCCCAAAAGATGCAAATTGTTTGAAAACCACATTACAGATCCATAATAGTTGTCATGAGATAATAAAAGTTCAAGGTTGGTTAAAGTTCTGATGAAATTCTTCAAATTGGGCTTTGAAACTTGCCCATGATACTCTGGTTTGATCGAGCTTCGCTTCTGCCTGCTTCTTGGACTGCTCTAACTTTGGCATTTGAGTCTGGAGTGCTTTGAACTTCGAGGCAGCAACTTCTACTTCTTTCTTTAATTCTGCCACTTTTTTACTGAGTTGGGATTTGTCTTTTTGAAGCTGAGCTAGTTGTGCCTGAAGCTTTTTTTCCCTTGCATCCAGTTCAGTAGCTTCTCTCTTCAAAGATAAATGCAATTCTTTTACATTCTTCAAAGATTGAGCAAGTAGTTCTTTCTCTCAGGTTTGAGCAGTACAATGACTGAGAGTCTGAGTAGACTCGGCATAAGCAGTAATCGTGGAAGGGACTTGGAGTTGGAAGTTTTTGAAAAGGTCTGGTCCTCTAGGGAGAAGCTAGGGTAGCTACTTAGAAAAGACAGGGTCTCAGTAAGGTCTTCCTTGAAGGAGGGGACAGAGGACAAATCTTGTTGAAGCATGTGGAGTAGTATCTATACAGCTTTAATTACTTCCAAGGGAGTTTCAAAAGTTTTTTCAGGTGGGATCTCAAGAGACTCAGGATCTGGTGAGTCGAACACAGAATCGAATAGCGAATCAAGGGCTGCGAAAGGAGAACTCGGGTTGATACTGACAGGAATGGTTGGAGTAACCGAGTCTTTTTTTACCTAAGATATGTTGGGTTAATTACAGTTGTTACAAGTCTACAAGAACAAGTTATAAAAGTTATAACTTACTTCATCAGAATCTCCAATTTGTTTATTAGTTGAAGTCGTAACCAAATGTGGAGAAGACAATAGGGACTTTTGCTTTTGCCCTATTAATAACTCAATTTTTTCTTCTTCATCAACATGGTCTATAGAAATTTCTTGAACTGATTGTTAGTTTGAAGAAAGTTGAGTTTTCTGAAAATAGTGCCGATTTAGTTATATTATAGAAAAAAAGGAAATATGTGAAATCAGGCAAAGAAGGGAAGTACATTAGGAGATTCAGCAGTAGCAGGTTTCTTTTTCTTGGATATGACCTGATCATCATCACCTTCATCATCATCAATCAATTGAAATTTTCTTTTGGCTCTTGCCTTTTGATTGCGGGTATTACCTTAGTAGCTGAAGATGGAGGTATACTTTGGAGAGGGACATAGAAATCAACATGGGTCTCCTTAGACTTGGTGGGTATGGATTTGTCTGGTGCATTGGAATGTGTGCCTAAATTTATGATTAGTAAGCATATAAACAGAAGTTTATATGGAAAGGAGGAAGATGTAAAACTTACTCTGCCGAGAGCGAGATCTGGTCTTACCTACAGGGGCTGTAGGAGGAGGACGAGTTGGTGCCACATTTGTTGTATTCTTTAGTTCAGGAGCAGTAGAAAAGGTAATGGGTTCAATGGAATCCAAACCTTGAAAATTAAGGAAAATGAACTTGTAGGAGCCGAGAAGATTGGACACAATTTGACTAGAATCCACGGTCCTGGTAAAAGTGATATAGGATATCCACCAATTCTCAAAGTTTAGGTTAGTACGCGGTTCTTCAAGGAAAGGTTTATACTGAAACCCTTGAAAGAGTTGAGTGAATCGATTAAACACATCTTGAACTTATTCACTGTTTGAAAGCTTCACTCACCGATGATAGTTCTTGTTATAAGAAAAATGGGGAGGTATTGGGATCATTTGGGTTAGTCCAAATTGCCGGGCTAACTGAGTCAGGTTGTAAAATTCAACCCCAGTTTGGCTCTTGGGCAGATGGAGAGCAACGGTATTGCAAGGTATATATCTTGCAATCAAGCAATGGCCCCATAAATTGGTGTAGAGGTCAATCTGTTCAGCTGAAGAATTGATAGTATGAGGAAATAACCAGGATGGAGCTAGTTAACATTTGGAAAAAGGAAGGAATTGGGATTGAGTCCTAATCTTGCACTGATGATAGAAAAACTGAAAACTGTCATTAAATGAGTGGTCTTTGGGTTTGATTCTAGCATACCCGAATGATAGCAAAGGATCGTTTAGAGTAGGTAGAATGGGGGAGGATAACTCAGGGAAATATGCATGTAGCCAGAACTGGTATAACCAGAATGGGCCTCCAGATCTTGCAAAGTTGGAAGTAATAAGATCAGATAAGCCTCTATACAAGGACGCTAACAGGAATGTAGCTAAGGCCATGGGTTTCCCTTTGGATAATGTGATAGCCAATTGGGTAAGGTCCTTGGTAATCTGGATAGCAGGAGCACACAATAAATACCTACACAACCATAATAGTAAAAATCCTATATGTTCTTGTTCATCTTCGTCAGTCCCTTCTTCTCCTAACATTTCTTTCAAGAATGGTCCATGTGATTGCACATAGGGTTTAGCCCCTTTTTTGTTTTGGAAAGTAAAAGGAGGTTTCCTTATCCTGGAGGAGATAATTGATTTCATCTCCTCCAGGCTTTAAACCTGTTAGAAAACAAACGTCCCTCAATGTAGGGGCCATCATGCCACAGTGCAAGTTAAGTGAATTACTTGTGGGGGACCAAAAGTGCAAAGAGGCAAAAAATAATGCTTGGTCAAAGGAAAAAAGAATCTTACTAAGCTAGATGAGGTCAAAGATACCCATCCTTTTCCACTGCTCTCCTTTTGCTGCTGATACACGGTCCACCCAATCGTTCCATTGGAGCATTGGTGGGTGCCAATTTCTGACAGAGAGAGTTGGATTGTCCCCTTCCATTGTTAGATAGAGAGTTTTGGAGAAAGGGAGGTGCGGTTTGGCTTGTGGATAAATTGGAGATAAGGAAGGGGGAAATCGATTTAGAAATGCTGGGCCAAGTCCCTTAGCGTTTTCAGAGACGTCAATCAACGTGTTGGAATCCAGTTCACTCTGATCTAAGGTTTTGATCGTTGATTTTGTTAGTTGTGTATGCGATGTCGCTTCTGGAAAAGGGTTTTCCAAGTTCAGATCACTTTGTTTCAGTTGTTTTGAAGTCATTTTGCAGAGAAGGGTTAGACAAAGAGAAGTTTGGAGAAGAAAGAGGGGTGATGGAAAGAAGAGTCTGCAAATGGAGTTGGTTTGTGGAAAAGCCGTGTGTGGTTGAAAGGTTGGGATTACTGCAATAATTAATGAGCGATAAGATGGGTTATCATAATCGACATGTTTTGGGAAGTGAATCAAGATAAAGCTGATAGGATTATAATATGTATACAAAGTTACGATACAATGGGTGTATTTGAATTTTAGAAGCTGAATAGTTAAAACGGCTACCAAAATTGGGGGGCATTATTGACACCCATTTTGGCAGTTAGGTTATAGACCCATTTTATTACATAGGTCATAGAGGATATTTGGTCAATGGATTTATGATTGGGCTGAAGAAGGTTTGGATTAGCAATTTAATTGGCAAGGACGTGGATTGTGAGAAGATATTGGGCTGAAGGATGCCGTAAGGAATTTGGGCTTGGAGGCATGGATTAAGCACTGGACTTGGGTTGCAGATGGGATAGCATTGGTGCAGTGACATGGCAGATTATACACAAGGGCAATACTAATCAGATTGAATATTTTTTAAACTTCTTGAGGGATAAGGTTTATGTGATTTTTTGAGTTAGTATTTATCTAGAATTAGTTATTTTTAAAGTCGTAGTTAGTTAGGCTATCTATAGGATTTGTTTAGTTTGAATAATATAGAGTTTTATTGTAATTAGAATACTTATTTGTAGGTATTTGTTTTGTAATTCATTCTATAAATAATCAAAGAGGCATGTTGTGCAAGAGGTCCAGCACCCTCAGAATCTTTATTATTATTTGTTTGCTTTCTCAAGCTTTTCTAAGAATAGCATCCTTGTTATTTCTTCTTTCTCCCGTCTATATT